ATATCTATGTTTATTGCTGACTGGAAACCCCTTATGGACTTTTTGTGTAAAACAGAAAAAATGAACTTATGATCTATGGTTTTGATGATTAGATAGATTATAGAAAGAAGCAACTTTAGAGAAAGAGGTAAATCTACAATTGTACTTATAACTGCTGCAAAGAAGATTGGAAGCCACTTCTTTATATCTTTTTTCTTTCTATTTTTCTTCAACTTTTTTCTTTTTTTTTTTCTTTTTGCACTTTAGCTTTCTCTTTTATTTCTTCCTTTTTCTTTTTTCCTTCTTACTTTATTTTAGTTTATGTTAATTTTTACTCTTGTTTTTAAAACTTTCAATAAAATCTTTATATATATACAGTATATATAAAGATAACACTGTTCTAAGGGAAACCTTTCTAAAGGTGATGAGAAATGTTGAAATAAACACCAGAAGGGACTCGATGAAGAACTCAAAAGGGACCACATGTGCAGACACCTCAAAATGTGGGAGTGAAAGCAAGGGAAGATTCCTCCAAGGAAATATATTATTTTTAAGAGAAGCTTATTGGAATGTGAAGGCAGACATTTATCATTTTTCTCATGAACAATCAGTTCAGAAATAAGCCTGAGTTGTAGGCCTGTTCAGAGAAAATAGCATGTTCCTTCTCCCTCCTTGCTTCCTTTCTTGCTCAAAACAGAATTAAAATTTAAATTTGTCATAAAGAGGAAGTTGGCGTGGGAAGCTTGATTATGCAATGCAAACAGAGGTCCTCTGTTCTTTAAGGACAATGTACAGGTATCCTACCTCCCTAAGCAATGCCTACTCACCTGGCATCCAACAGTTTGGGGTCCAGTGGTGGGTACATAGATCGAACCACATCGTCTACCCTATGAGGAAAAAAACAGATGGCTGTTTGTAATTAATGTATAAATTAAGGACAAATTAAGGAAGTGAAATAGAAACAGACTGCTATGCGTCTGTCTGTCTGTCCCTCCGTCCCTCCTTCTGTCCTAATATAGTCTTCCCCAAATTTGGGAGTTGCAATGGGAGAGAATGGGGTGTAATCTAACACATCTGAAAAAACGTGTTAGGAAAGGGTCTACAAAAGCAAATACAGATGGAAGTGATCAGTTCCACCCTCACTTATTTTTCCTAGGTTGTCTGTATGATACCTACATCTAACTGATTCTAGTATACACCCTGATTAGTATAAGTAAGTGGGTGGCAGGGGAGCAGCACAGCTTCCTCCCTGATGCTCTTCTTGAACAGTCTGAGCTGTTCCTCTTCATGTCTTTCATGCATTCCCTATGTTAGTTTAGTGTAACAAAGTGCACTGGAAGTTGTTCTGCTGTCAATGAGGACATACATGATCAACTCAGCCCACTTCCATGTAGGGGGTAGACCTCATGCCTCAGGCAGATGTCAAATCCTCCTTCCTTAATGGAAAAGCCATTAATTCACCCTTAGGCTCATCCAATCCATTTAGAAAAAAAGGGCAGGGAGCAACAAGGACAGCTGCCCCAATCATGGAGGAGTCCCCATCCAAAGTGTAACCAGTTGAAACAATACTTTTCATTCAAGGAAGTAAATCATTTAAACAATAATCCCAGGACAGTGTTTTGTTTGTCCTCCCACCTAATTACTCATTTGGCTTATATCCCATCTTTTGTTCAGGCTAAAATGGACTTTTCCTCTCCAGGCCACCCAGAGTCGTACTCCCCATAAGTTGTTTACAACTCACCTTGGGCTGATCCGTTTGGCCACCACAATAATGTCACTCAGGCTTGCTGGGGACTTCATTTGGGCCCCTGACCCCATTGTCATGGCAACAAGCTTCTCAGTGAGAGTGTGGCAGATCTGTTCAGAGAGTAAGAAAAGTCAGCGTTGCGTGGGGTAGGAGTTCAACTGCTCCTTAACTGCATTTGTCTTATATGCACTTCCTATGGACTGTGCACCTTCTCTGGTGCAGGGTATCCTCCCATTGTGATTTTCGAAAAAATAGGGATTTACCTTTAGGATAGCAATGCAGTGAGAGACCAGGCCCCTAAGGAAAGAGAAAATGGGAGCAGCAAATTAGAGAAGCACTTCACCAAAAGTCTCTTGCATTTGGACTCTTCCATGATTCAGTTTTCTGGCCTTCAGCTTCCCTGCTGAAGATCTATTTCCTAGGGTTCCGTAGGACATTTTGTTCTCAGCTAACCTGATGAGTTTGGCTCTTGTCACCCAAGTTGTTGACACGTTTCCCCTTGAGAATTGAGTAATCATAACATCAGTGAGCATTCTGCAGCCAGTGATATGAAGAGTGAAAAGGAAAAGACATGAAGCAATGATTTCCTATTCTATAAGGAGGCACTGACTGCAGAAAAATCCACATGTGTAAGGCTCAAAGGCATTGCCTGTCCTTTTTAACAATAATACAACTCATGCCAACACTGCACAAATGACTAATGAGTTAGAACTAGGATTGACTCTCTGTCTTTCACCCCATACACTTTCTGTCATTTCATTTAAATTAGTAATGCAAAGATAAGGAGCACTGGAAGTACAGGGCCTGCAACTGCCAGCATTCTCAGAAAGGAGGAAAGGGTATTAGATGAGATATGTCCATGAAAGATATTAGCATGGAAGGATGGAGAGAGCAACCACTTCTAGAGGATTTTGAAGAGAAGCAAGAAACAAGCTATGTGGCAGATGAGATGAACAACAGGGACTGCAGAGAGTTCTAATCTGGAGGCAAAATGGGTATTTAAGACCAATGGTGGTCATAGTGAAAAGAAAGTACCATTAAGCTAGGAGCAGAATGCTATTGTGTAGCAAGGATATTTTTAAAAGCTAACTATTTATCCTAATACTCTTTCTACCTCCCACCAACACCAGTAAAAACTCTGGTGAAAAATTATGGGTTTGGCCCTGCAGCGTTTGACTGACTATTAATTCTTTCCAGTGTAGCGCTTCTGTGCTAAGCATTTAAAGAGAGGATTTGGAGAGGTCTTGGTGCTTTATTCTCTGGTCCTGTTTTGTCTCAAATTGCAGCAGCAGAAGGAAAACAAAGCCCAAAAGGCAGTGCTGCCCAACTTACGAAGCATCATCAATCCATTCCTCGTTTGCCAGGATTGCTTCAATATGTGGGTTTGTTATGACCACATCATCCATCTCCAGTTCAGAGGGTTCTGACTGTGTCTCCATGGTGCCAGTTAAGTCAACAATAGGCCTGGGAGGAAGCACAAAAGGGATCCAAGTCATGGCTGTTGTTGGATGTGTGTGTGTGTGTCAAAACAGCCCTAATTAAGCATACTTTTGACCAATAAATTCAGTAAGCTTTGGTATCCCAAATTAAGTACACTTATTAACCAGCCAGGAAAAAAAAAACTTGAGTGTGATATTATGCTTTTAACAACTCAGTTTGCAGAAATCAGCATATGAAGCTTTTTTGAGCCCAAGAGATGGTAAACACCGTCAGTTGCTGCTAGCGATCTAAAATCAAATTGCTATTAACAGCAAAGGAGCCAGAACCTATGCTTTGATAACCCCAACACAAATAAATAAAAAAAAGAAATAATGGAGATTGTGTTTAATTTCTTATAATAGCTTCCCATTATGGTTCTAGCTTTCCTGATTTGTAGGAGGAGGCAGATTTAAGGCTGGTATGCCACCTCCTTCTTATCCACAGCAGTGGTTTAAGGCCCTGAATATTTCCACAGAAAGAGCAATTTCATCAGAAACAATTCAGATCATAGCTCTGGAACCTATTTTTAAAATATCAGCCATGGAACAGATGAGAACATTTTATAAAAGATTATATTCAGTAATTGTATAAAGAAATACTCTGGGTTCTCTTCAGATTGTAGAATAGTCTTGCAAAGTCTTTTACAAGTATCACACAAGCTTTGTTTGAAAATGGAAGCAGATAATGCCACTAAATATGTGCAGAATTCCTTTTCAGTCACCAGCTGGCTTAGGCACCTGAACTATTTTGAGTTCAAATTTTACTTATAGAATCTTTAATTGGCTGTCATTTCTTATTATTAACAACAACCAAAGTTGTAGATTAGACATTCCCATCTTGGAATCCTTGAGATGTGCTGTGCCTGTGGTGCCTAAAATCCATAGTTTTGGCCATCCTGACTTCAAATGCTGGAAATTGCTATCCCAAAACATTCCAGATAAGAGGATGTATTGCCAGAATCTTAACAGTTGAAAAATCACCTCACCTGGTATCATAGTGACTCAAGAAGTCCTTGGGTCGGCAGTAACGTTGTCTACACACCACAACCAGGGCCACAAAAGAAGCCAGGAAGATGGTTGCCAATACCCCAATGGCTACAATCACAACAGTCTCCATTGATGCCCTGTGGTACACTCGGGGGTGAATGGACAGTTCAAGAGCAAGACTTCTTCAGAAACACTTCTACCTGGATTAAAACTGAACAAAGTGGAGTCCTGGTGGTGACACACACCAGAAATAATGAAACTTTTGGCTTTCAGAGTCTTTTTTAAAAACAAAAACAAAAAAGTGAGACTTAAGAGTGAAGCTTAATTCAAAAGACAATGGAACAGTTCTATGTCAAGCAATCTGAATATCAGTACTGAATTCAAGTCCTTCCAAACAGTAACACTGATTATACTAACTTTTCTCTCAGGCATTATAACGTTGCCACTATTTTTAAACAATAGGGAGTTAGAAATCCTTGCTAATGTGTTGAAATCATTCAGAGATCTACTCATATATCCATATCTATTTTTTGCCCATCCTCACTTATTCTTGGAATGAGCCAGCCTCTCTCAAATGTTCTGCTCACCTCTTTGAGTATCCTTATGATTAAGTGAAGTATTATGTACCTTGGCCAGATGTTTTCAACAATTAAAGCATAACTACTGTCAATGATCCCGAGTATGCCGTCTTGATTATGTGCTTGGCAAAATGAAATCATGGCCCATCTGATACATCATGTTTTGCAGTCAAAATGTGATAGACTGTTCAACCAAAGAGTGGTCAAACATTCTTTGGCAGATTGCAATCTAATGTCTTCCTACTGTATTGTTTTCATTGCTTTAGGGCACTTCTGCCCAGCCACATTGTGCCAGTTTAGAATGAGCTCCAAAGCCTAGTGTTCCCACAGTTTCCCACTGTATCACTGGTGTTTGAGAGCTGAGTCTTTTTCCCTCCTTGATTTTATGCTAGTTTATCTAAAGCCGATCTTCACTGCTGGATTGTTTTTCTTGCTTCATCTCATCTCCTGGCTCTGAGTTTCAACACCCTATTCTTATGTCAGTCAGTAGGCATTGTTTAAAACCCATTTCCCTGACCCCTCTACTCTAGCCATTGTAGCGGCATGCAACCATAGACAGAATTATTGGGAAAAGTGTCTCATTAGAAATTGCCAGCATGCTATTACTTCATCATAGCATTTCACCTGAGCCTTTTAAATAATGCTTTTCCTCAAACTCTCCTATTGGAAAGCTGCAGATGAGCATGGATTGGCCATGGTGCAGTTTTCATATTCTCAGCATTTCAAAGTTAGCAGAAGTGAATATGAACACATTGGCTTTAAAGTGTTTTGGAATAGTGAGGAGGCAGCTTAAGAGTATGTATATGGGGAACAAACCAAGACTGTCCCCCAATTGTCCTGTTCTTTGAACAGTATCCACCATCATCCTGGTAGACTTAACTGAAGGAGGGCCCTAGTCAAATGAACGATGTGTGTGTATCCAAGAGTCTCTGTCCTAAAACACTTTTTTCACATGCTTTTTCAGTAGATTTGAAAGCTATCACCTTCTCCAGTACCAACACTATGCCAACAAATATCTCCTACCCAAGTAACTGTACAGCCCAGATGTTCTCCTTTTTTATGTGCTGAGATACAAAATCCTTCAACTGGAAATGCCAAAAATGGAAACTGGGATCTTTGATGGGCACGTAATTGGCTAGTTTATCAGCATGAGGTTTGCCAAACTACCCCACTTCTTTCAACTTTCAAAGCAGACTTGCCCCTGTTGCCATGGTTTCCACTTCACAAATTAGGCAGTTCTGGGAACATTATACATTTAAACACTTCTGGCAGATGAGAGCCCTGCCTAGGTCAGCATTTCAAGGGTGCATGGAATGACTTACTACTTTGTCCTTCAAGCAGACCAGGCTGAAGAATCTTCTTTTACTGCATGTTTTATGGGTAACGCTTGAATGAAGGATTGCCAAGTTCTGAAATATTTTAAGGATTGAACAATACTGATATTTCAGATACAGATTTACATGTTGTAGTAAGCAATTATGGTGAAACATACTGTGTAAAGCCAGTCATTTTAGTTTGTACAGGATATCTTAATTAATAATTCAGCATTATGTGTATACCAGGCCATTAAAATTTGTAAACTAAACTTTGGTTAAAACAAATCTTGTCGTTGCAGGTTATGACTAATCAACTATAAAAAGCAAGTTGCCACTGAAGACTCAAGAGCAGAGGAAGTAATTTTTGTCTGATTAGTTATTATTACCAGTGTCATATTTCTGGAGCATCTTTAATAACTAGAAATCATATATAACTCAAAAAACCCTCTGTATCATGATTGGATCACAGAGTAAGAGTCTGGAGGGAAAAGGTCACATCTGAATGAATGTAAACAAATTGCTTTCCCTTCAGATTTACTTTTTAAAGGTCAAGTAATAGTGTTAAAGAGTGAAACTGATACCTCATTTCTTTGGAGATTTAAAAAGTTAGCAGATATGCAAATTACCAATTAAAGTCTGGCTGGATTTTAGTAACTGCTACACCTCAACCCAAACAACAACAACTTGGTTGAAAGGCCTTCACTTCTAAGTTGCTAAAGCAATCAACTGAGAGATGGTTGTGTTTTGGTTAGTTTATATTGTACCTACAGTGCAGAAGTGGGAAACCGGGGTTCTGCTGTAGAATCCTAACGAACTGAACTATGGAAACAACAGGTTTTTTTTTAAAAAAAATTCTCACCTGGTCTCTGTAGGAACACAGCATCAGCCGCTGCCACCGGAACATTAGCGTGAAGAAAGCAACTGAGCAAATAGCAGCGGTGCTTGTGACCTTTACCCCGTCATCCCAGCCCACAGCAAATAGCGCAAGAACACATGGGAGAAAAGGAAAACTTCCTTGGGATCATTTTTGGCCTCGCAGACGCTAGACGCCGTTCAATTGGTTTTTCATGGAACAAAAGGGATGGCATGAGCCTTCCCTATGGAGCAGGAGGTTGGCATACTTTGCAGTTACAGTGCAAAACCAGAGGGGCATGATGTCCACTGATAGGATTTATGTTTGGTAGAACATTCAAAAGTAGGACTGTACTGAACTTAAATTCTACTGCTTATATAAACCTTGCACTATTAAACAACAAAGCAGATCTCTATCTTGAACAATTTGTCCTCCTCACAGTGGATATAATGGGATAGTTTCTCACTGGAAGTCTTACTCAGCCATACCTTTCCTCTCTTTATGGCCTAATATAGGAATGTAGTCTCCCTCCCCCCGCCCCATTCCACAACATGAAAGGTATTAGCTTTTAAGGCTGCTTAATTCTCTATCTGATCCACATTTGCAGAGTATAATTGAGGAACCTATAGCAGTAATGATAATAATAATTAATAATAATATATGCTGCTCGACTCCCAGAGATTCTGGGTGGTTTACAATTGTTAAAAACATTTAAAAACAAAGAACAATACAAAGTCTTAGTTTCTTTTCACTGTTTTCCAAGGGTTTCTGTTGTACTCTTTCAACACAAGCACAACTTCACTATTATCAGAAAAGCTTCCCGGAAATTACTAAACCCACTGTCAACACAGCCCCTTTAGAGAGGTCCTAACATTAAAGAGAGAGATGAAACATGGCAGGAAGGAAACAATTCCTCCTCCTTGCTTAGGAATTTTGCCCTGGCAACAGCTCCCTCATAACAGTGGCTTTCTCTGAAGCAGAATGTCTGGTTTGTTTTTTTTTTTAAAGAGGATTAATCCCTGAACTCTGAACATTTCTTACTCCTGAAACAAAAGAATAAAAAATCTTGCCTCTTCTCAAATCTTTTACCAAAAGTAAATGGAAATGCACCCAAATGTAGCTGGAGACACCCCCCACCTAGCAAAAATGCTTCATCTAGAGGCAATGGGGGTGAACACTAAAATAGTTCTTCTCTTTACCTGGGAATACTGTACTGGAGGAGGCCACAGCGTTCCACTTGCCAAGAGCCCCTGCAAGCAAGTTTCTTCTACGCTAAGAAGGGCCCCCTTGTCTGCCAGCGTAACTCTTTTAGCCTTCTTGTTAGGTCCTGCCTGCATTCCTGAGCAAGATAAAACTGAACAGATGCCAGATGGACAGAGGCGAGATTTGAAAGTGGGCTGGCCATGCATGGGGGATTTGGGGTGGGGGTGCCTTCAGCTGAGATACGGTGTTCACCCTTCCTTGCAGAAGAAAATGTCTGCGGTATATCCAAGAGTAAATTGTATTGTAGTCTCTAATAAATACTATAAACCAGCGATTCTCACTTTTCCATATCATGACCCCCTAAAATGAATGTGTGTGATTCCCTCATGAATAATGATTTCACTGATGATGGGGTTGGACAAGAGATACAAACGCCACCTTTAATCGGTAATTTTTAATCTTTATCTCACAGGGGTTCTCAAACTTTGTTGTACAACTGCCCACTGCTGTTTTGCTTGGCAAAGTGAGGAGCAAAGGCTAGAATGAGGTTTGACCGTGCTCCCCCTTTGCTCAAGTCTGATCAGTTTTCTTGCGCGTGCGCCAGTTTGGAGAACGCTGCCATAAGCAGTCCACAGCAGAAGAAATTGCCAAGTTGATGAGGCGTCATCCCGTCCGATGCCACTTTACTCATTTTAAGGCTCTTAGTCTCTCTCAAACTTGGCAACTTTAAGACCTGTGGACTTCAACTCCCAGAATTCCCCAGCCAGCATGTTTTATTGAAGGGTCATTATTGTCTGAATATCCGTTTCCTTTAGGTGCAGCCACAGTGGAGCAAAAAACTTCCAGATGTAATAATTGTTTTAAAAACATGTTTCATATAGGAGATGAAATAAGTACCGCATTCACTAATTTTTATGATTTAGTTAAGGCACCTGAATCTCACATTTTAGCTTCTGGAGAAATATTTGGAATTGAACTATTTCAGGGTAAGTATCAAACTATATTTGCTGACGTTTACCAGAAGCCCAGTTGTCTGCATTATACCATAAATTAGTACTACACACATATACCCTCCCCCTGCCACAAAATTAATTGCACCATCAATCTTAGGCTAGTGCAGAGCCTTCAAAGTAGAGAATATCAAACCAGAATGTTAAAAAAAGCAGATTTTAGCTCTCCAACATTTTCATAGTAGAGTTAGACAGCTGTCTCATATGACAGGCATAGTAGTAGAGGGCTTAGTATGGCTTTTCAAATCTTCTGAATTCTGTAGAAGAATGCTGGGTAGTTGTAGCTGTAAATAAAGATGAAGGATAAAGACACAGAAGATGTACTGTGCCTGGATAACACACTGGCTCTTCCAGCTTCATTGTCCACTAAAAAGCCTAGATGCAGTACCTTCCTCCCTCCATTAAGGTAGACTGAAAAAGTACCATTTTATTAAAAAAAAACAAAAAAAACCTACAGAAGCAGTTGTTTATGGCTTTTCAGGGGTGTGTGTGAAACATTCTACACACCTCAGATTTGCACATTGATCTCTCCTGTACCCAGAGTTTGTTCAGAACAAATGAAAGTGATTCAGCGGCAAGTTCATGTATAAAGTGCCAGTTTGGAAGGATGATTCGCCACACCAATTCCTGAACTCTGGATTTACCAATAGTACAAAGAGAAGGAAGAATGGGTTGTTTTCATGATGTCCTCTCCTACAGCTTCAGAACAACACTAAACGGTCCTGGCCCAACTACTGTATTTTCATGGTAGTAGTTTCAGATTTTTTCCCCCTGTGTTAAATGTTTCCCTACAGAATGGAAATTATGAAAATTATCTTTCCTCAGAAGGATAAAACCTCAAAGGCTTCAGGGCTTGATGGTCATTATCCATTCAGACATTAACTCTGAAAAAAATGGGGGTCACATGGGTGAATACTTTATTTTCAGCTCAATGCACTGTTGGAAAACATTATTTGAAGTGACCCCATCTGCCAGCAGAATAACTTTCTGCATTCATTTGCTACCTTGATCTTCTTTTCAACCCAATGGAATGTTGAAAGAAATCATATAAAGGAGGTTGGAATTCTTTCTGTCCAGGGCTGGCTTTAGGCTGGCTCTGTAGGTACTGGCCTTGCGCACCAAAGCTTAGGGTTGGTACTGAGTAGGAACTAGCCTAGGGCACCAATGCTGCCCCTCCCCTTCCAAATCATTCTAAAGGACAAATCTTCACATCAGCAGGTGGTGCCATCAGTCAATGTGGCCTAGGGGCACCATATACCCTTGAACCACCACTGTCTCTGCCTTTCAGCAGAATAACTCTCTGAAACCTGAATAGAACAAGAGGTGCAAAAGTCAGTCTGAAAATGGGCCAGCTTGGAAATGGTAGAGAAAAAAAAGTCCAGATAAATTTCCCCAGGGCATCCCTGTGGGAGAAGCCATCAGGAAGGAGCTTGGAATGTGGGCAACTCCTGCAGCCTAGCCCCCCCCCCCCGTCAAGTAACTGAGAGCAGAGCTATTATTAAGGTTTTGGAAAGAAATCCATAAATCAGGCTCTCCATTCTTTCCCCACTTTGTTTTTAGCAGGGAAAAAAAAAAGGTCCAGGTATACCAAGCTCTCTGGGTAGCTTCTAAACCGGGGGTATGCAATGTTTGAGAGATAAGGTGCTGCAAACTCAGCCTCCCAATCTTCTTGAAAGGGCACATCTTCTGGCCATTTTGCCAACCAATTTTGGTGACACAACTGTCAGGTTCTACAGCTCATGGGATGCCCTCTACCACTGTAAACATGTATTTGATTATATTGAACTCAGGGTTACCCAAGGATCAGGTACATAGATAAGCTGAATTCCACTTTACCAATCTCAAAGTGCAAGTTATCCTACCACAGATAATTCATACATACATTGGAACAAGCAACTGATACACAGAAATTAATATTACAAATCTGAATTCTGTATTATAATGCTGTTATGCCAATACTATGATCATGTATTAGTATTCTGCCATTTTATATCTTGCAGTCAAAGAAGTGGAGTCAGATTAACCAGTATTCACCAAATGAATGTCTGATCCTCTTCAAATCCATCTCCATCTCACATTTTCAACAATACTTCGTTCATTCAAAAGAACTGAAGATTCAGAGTATATCCGTAGCAATACAATTTCCCTCAACTCCTTCATAAGCCATGTTGCTTGAAAAATAATTACTTCAATTGAAAAGTAATTCTTTAGATTCACCCACAAAGCCTCCCCCTTTCCACAAACAAGCTTTCTGAATCCAGCAGAGATGATTTGATTGCTTGCCAAATATTTCTCTCCCAGCTTCATTGTCTCTGTTGTGGCCCTAACCAGCGACACCTCTTTCCTTACAGCAACAGGACCTGCTCTCATACTGAAGGCACTCCATTATACAGCTGTGTCTAGCTCTCTGGGAATATATAATTGAACTGATTAAGGATTTGCTCCACAATCTGATTCTGGAAAACCATGTACATAGCCATATTCCCTTCTTCTGCCTCTGGCTTCAATAATGTTGGCCCAAAGACAATTGCAACACTCTGCAGAGACATGCGGTTCTCCTCCTGGAACTCTATAACCCTGGAAAAAAGAAAGGAAGGACACCTTGAAGCCACAAGAACAACTCTGAGATGCCATCAGAAGTAGGAGGACTCGAGTTCCAATCCTCTTTTGGTTGGGGTTTAATTTTATCATTTACTTTTATGAAGTGTACACTTCTGTAAAGATTATTTGTTAGCCACCTGTCTGCCCCTTCCCTGCCCATCTGGCTGCAGAAGTGCCATTGAATATTATTTCTTTCAAGTTGCATAGCAATTAAAAGTGTCACCCACTAAATTCAAAGAGTGATGCAATATTTAGGTAGGCAGGCAGGCAGTCTTGGTGGGATGAGGGAATGAAGTGGGCTCTGCCTTCTAGCAGGAATTTAAAGGTAGGAAGGCCAAAAGGCAGAGAAAAGTATCACAAGGGTTGACTAGCTGGGAGGAGACTGTGGTTGAGGCAAGAAATTCACACTGCATCTATGGCCACAGGACTTTTACTGCAGAATTACCACTTTGCAGCCCAAACCAACTGAAAGGTCTGAAAGATGGAGCTGCTTACCTGCAAAGATGCTGGAAAAGTACCCTCATGGTATTGCGATTAGCAGGAGGTAGAGAATGCACAAGTTCCCGTAAGCGGTGGCTTCGCTTTGTAGGGTCCGTAATTTCTGCAATCCCCAAAAAAGGAGATTTCACTCATTTTATTCTTTATACCAGTGGTCCTAAGAAATAACAGCAGCCTGTCTAGATCCTTGTCCTTTCACTGTTATTTTTTCTGCTATGGATAATGCACTTTCTTGCCACCCTGTTCTTTCCAGCAGTCAAGAGCAAGGGGAAAGGTGTATATTAGACCATTAGACACATTCTTCTAATTTGATGTGACAAAGAGAGGCTATGCCAAGCCTAGTCTAAATGCTAGATGCTATGCCTCTTCTGATTCCCGAAGAGAATTTATACTTTACATACTATTCATGTGTCTGTGTGTGCATATTCTGAAGTGCTTATTCTCTTTTTTTGCTTTTGCTTGTGTCCATGTTTTCAACTCTGTATTTTTTTTTTGTCTCGCAGCTTTATTAGTTCAATAAAAACATTATTATTATTGTTGGTCACATAGCCAGATGTTTAGACTGGATTTGGCATTTTTATCCACCTATTGAGTCCTTCCCAAGAACCTGGGATAGGCAGATGTTGTTGTTTGATGGTAAAGGTATCATCGCAGAATGATGATGATGATGATGATGATGATTTCCTGTACTGAACTGTCCCAAACGTTTTAAAGCAGGAGAAGGCAATCTGCGTGACTTTTCCCACACAGTGCTCTAATGCGATCTTATTAGCCACCTCCTCATTGCAATTTGCTGGTAAAGAGGCACTTTTGGATTTGTATCACTGTTATTTGAGGGCAGCCTTAACTCCTTTAAATCCATAGAAAAATATTCGATTTAATTTTAGTTCGTTTTGTTTTGCCCTAGGCTATGTCCAGATTTAATGTTACTATCTGTCTGTCAAAAATTTAACCACAATTAAAAAAGAGTAAGCATGGAGAGACTTCTGGTGAGCACCATGGCAAGCTAGATGTCCTTGATGGCAGAGATTGATGGCTGGATGCTGGATCCTGGCCAGCAAAATCTTTCCAGAGAAAGGAGAGATTGTGAGATTGCCCACATGCACTCAGGACAGCTACTCCTTGTGAGTAGACTACAAGAACCAAGGTTTTGCAGTCGGCTTATGAGTTGAGCAGCTGGGAGTTAAGGGATACCATCTAAGCTCACAGTCATAACACAGCCTTTTATGGACAAAAAGCTTGGCCGAGCCTCATTTCTTGATGACCTTTGGAATTATTTTTATTGCTCTGCAAAGACCCTTCAGAATAGCCAAGTTTTTATTACATTCACTGGGTGAGTCTCCTTTTCCTTAACAAAAAAGGTTTTAAATATGATTTTAAGGACTCGGAAAATGTGATGGAATCTGAGAGTGACCTTGGAAGATGGGGTGAAGAGATGCCGCCTAGGGGACCAACAGATAAAAGAGAAGGGAATCCGCAACAGAGTAACAGCCAGAGAATGAAACTTAGGAAGGACCCGCCCTAACTACGCAGGCAGTAAATAGGGATGCAGGAGATTTGTACCTTCAGACTTGCAAGATTCTATTAATGTAGCTTTGCAATAAAGTAGAATTAGGTCATCTAATAGTTTACCTGGGAGGGCTGACAGAAAAATATTATTTTTTGGAATAAACAGCAAAAGGATGCTTAGAGTGTTGATTTTGGAAAGTTAAAAAGTGGATTAAGGGTGCAGATGGACTTGGAATAAAAATTTGAAATTAATTATAAAAATCTTTCCCATGGAAACTGTGGTGGTTCGGATTCTTTGGAAGAAAAAAACATGATAGGAGGAGACTTTGAAGGTTGGGCACTAGAGGGAACTAGAAGAAAATAAAGATTATACTTAAGGAAGAAGAATACTTAAATTTGACTTGTTAACAAAGAATGGACCAAAATACTTTAATAGTGGATCCTTTGAAGGATATTTTGGAATGATGGACTCAGAAATTGATTTTAAGAATGTCTGATATCATAGATGGTGTGTTAATGATGTCACAGAAGAAGAACAAGCTATACCAGTTAGACTGAAATTGATTTGAATGTGAGTTTAAATATGACAAGTTACAAGAACAATATGGAACAAGATGATATATTGGACATACAAATGAAACCAGGTGATGTCTTAATACTTAAAGATGATATACAAGTATTAAACCAGAAGAGTGATTTGGATAACCTTTTCTTACTGTACGTACAAAAGAGATCTGCTAAAGTCTTGAAGGACTCTCTGAGAAAGGACAATAGAGAATAGAATAGAATAGAATAGAATAGAATAGAATAGAATAGAATAGAATAGAAGAGAAGAGAAGAGAAGAGAAGAGAAGAGAAATCAAGTTCTAGGACATTATTTGAAGGGATTAAAAGCCAAGATTGTTAAAAGTACAGGGAAGGAATACAGAATTGGCTTATTTGATCAAGGTTAAAATAGGTAAGTAGTTATTTTTGGCAGCCTTTAAT